GGGGGGGGGGGGGTTACTTACAATGGGCATACAACTTTTTCTGTCTTAGAAAGGGCAAAAATATAGATAAGCAATATATATAGATAAGAGGAAAACATATATGAATCCGAGAGCACTAGGATTCTGCACAGGCATTGTGACACGCAGCAACAACACTAATGCAGTCCCAGTCAAAAATAGGCACTAGTTGCTTTCTGCAGGAAGGTGGCCAAAACTCCCAATCCTGTTTGCATATTTGGGCCTCCACCCAGTCCTGCCCTTCACAACCTCAGCCCCACCCTCGAGTCGAAGCAAATGCTGGCATTCGACAAAACCCGAATCAGCCAGGTCACCGATACCCTTGCTCAACACAGAAGAAAGGGACTGCACAACACTGTCCCTCCTGCACTCCCTCCTGTACTCCAAGGTCATGCTCGCAAGCTCATGACTCTCCAAGATTGGCAGGGGAGCACTCTGAAAAAACCAGCAGACTAGTAATTAGATCGTAAATCAATTACATACAAAACCACCAAGAAATAGCAGTAGAAAGAAGACGAAAAGCCCAAATAATCTACAAGGATATATCAAATTCAAACGTCACAACGTTCAAAGACTTAACAAGCACAACAAAATATCACATGCTACTTCCCCTCCAATAATGATGCACTTGTGACAACCTACACCTAGTCTTTTTTGAGTAAACCAAGCATATACGAGCNACCACCAAGAAATAGCAGTAGAAAGAAGACGAAAAGCCCAAATAATCTACAAGGATATATCAAATTCAAACGTCACAATGTTCAAAGACTTAACAAGCACAACAAAATATCACATGCTACTTCCCCTCCAATAATGGTGCACTTGTGACAACCTACACCTAGTCTTTTTTGAGTAAACCAAGCATATACGAGCCAAATGTCTGGGAGCGGCAAGGCTACTTTTGCTAAACTCATGAGCCATGAGGAGCCACATTATGAACATCAAATCATGCCACCAACCAATACCTTCTGTCTCACTTGCACTAATCCTCTTTTTCTCCTTGTATAATCTGACATATTCTTCTAATTGGAGGTAAAGCATTTCACCTCCTACTGGAAAGGTGGTAGACACACTACACAATCCTGAAAGTGGACAGCAACCCAAAACACTTGAGACAGAAGATGATGTTCAGACCCAAAAGCTCACTGGAAAAGATTCTGAATAAATCCAGTGATAAGATAGACACCACAAAATCCGACAGTGGTTTGCAACCCAGAAAAACCTGCGAGGAAATACCACTTCCAAAGTATTTAGATGCACATATTGGATTTGGTAAACAGTGCTTTGCATGGCATACGAAACCACGCAACCTTGAGCCCTTTTCACCCTCTAATTTTGTTTGCTTCTCACATAAGATATCTAAACATTTCACACTCCAACAAGTAATAGGAAACCAAAATGTCAAAACAACCAGGATGATCAAAATATACTTCCACCGTTTTGATTCAGAGGACCCCTTAATAATGAGAAGAAAAATGTTTTTGAACATTGGTTGTAATTCATTAGCATAGCATCACTCAACTTTGCTTCTGCACGTATGTGATACACACAAATATTCCATAAAATTACGCCAACCACTGTCAATATAGATTCCATTCCCTTATTTGCCTGAGCCTGTTTAGCCATTTGATAACATGTCCAATGCTTCAGAAGACATTCCGATCAGGTTTTCACATTAAAAAATACAAATAAAATAAATGGCATGACAAAACAGATGATGGATTAAAAGAAATTACCTCGAGGATCCAGTTAATATATTTCACATTGTTAACATGCTGGTTGACATCTAAATCACTCCATCTTGGCTGAAAATTTGCAATACCTCAACATCATAGGATATAAAATCCAAGTAGTAAAACAGTTATGGTACACAAAAAGGCTAACNAAGCATATACGAGCCAAATGTCTGGGAGCGGCAAGGCTACTTTTGCTAAACTCATGAGCCATGAGGAGCCACATTATGAACATCAAATCATGCCACCAACCAATACCTTCTGTCTCACTTGCACTAATCCTCTTTTTCTCCTTGTATAATCTGACATATTCTTCTAATTGGAGGTAAAGCATTTCACCTCCTACTGGAAAGGTGGTAGACACACTACACAATCCTGAAAGTGGACAGCAACCCAAAACACTTGAGACAGAAGATGATGTTCAGACCCAAAAGCTCACTGGAAAAGATTCTGAATAAATCCAGTGATAAGATAGACACCACAAAATCCGACAGTGGTTTGCAACCCAGAAAAACCTGCGAGGAAATACCACTTCCAAAGTATTTAGATGCACATATTGGATTTGGTAAACAGTGCTTTGCATGGCATACGAAACCACGCAACCTTGAGCCCTTTTCACCCTCTAATTTTGTTTGCTTCTCACATAAGATATCTAAACATTTCACACTCCAACAAGTAATAGGAAACCAAAATGTCAAAACAACCAGGATGATCAAAATATACTTCCACCGTTTTGATTCAGAGGACCCCTTAATAATGAGAAGAAAAATGTTTTTGAACATTGGTTGTAATTCATTAGCATAGCATCACTCAACTTTGCTTCTGCACGTATGTGATACACACAAATATTCCATAAAATTACGCCAACCACTGTCAATATAGATTCCATTCCCTTATTTGCCTGAGCCTGTTTAGCCATTTGATAACATGTCCAATGCTTCAGAAGACATTCCGATCAGGTTTTCACATTAAAAAATACAAATAAAATAAATGGCATGACAAAACAGATGATGGATTAAAAGAAATTACCTCGAGGATCCAGTTAATATATTTCACATTGTTAACATGCTGGTTGACATCTAAATCACTCCATCTTGGCTGAAAATTTGCAATACCTCAACATCATAGGATATAAAATCCAAGTAGTAAAACAGTTATGGTACACAAAAAGGCTAACTACTTTCACAAGCAAAAAGCCATTGACTTACAGTCAACCCGGTACGAATAGAATCTGCTGTCTTGTCATCAAGTTTTGGTAATTTCCTTCCATCTTCATCCACAACAGGAGGCGAATCCACAAAATAAATTCCTATTTCTGCTCGAACTTCATCTGGAATCTTAGATAACTTCCTCGTCTCTTTATTCATCATCACCCATAAACTACAATTTATCCAACCAAAAGCCGTCACAATGATAAGAACTCTGGTCAGTTCATGAGATATCTTATGCAATACTTGTGGAATTTGTTTTAGAAAACCTTTCCTAATCCTTAGAGAATCGGAAAATGGAATAAAAGAGTTCACACAATCGCACCATTCATATGTTTGACTGGCCATTCCATAAACACCCCTAGCTAGTACATTTAAAAGAAGATATACTGTTTACGTTGTTATGGAATAATAGCAGGACAAGCGCCCATTTCAGAGCAGTAAGCAAGCCTATAGAGCAATGGTGAAAGGAGAGAACAGTTCCACTAACTTTGCCATGAGAAATGAGAAACAATTGATGATTGTGAAGAAATCTCATTACTAAACACACTGATTTCCAACCTGGAAGCTCTCGTTAAAATGTCGCCTGTTTTACAGTCACGGAGAAGCCAATCACGGCGCATACCATTCTTTCCAGATGCAGCTACCCAAGTGTCTACTTGAACTACATCTCCCCTGCCAATAGATGTATAAAGAATCATTAAACAAAAAATTACACAGATCAATCTCGGTCTTATGTAGCATTATAAGTAAAACATTAGATCATAAATAATCCACGGCAGCAATCACAAAGTAGCAGTCACAAATATGATTAGTACCCCTGTATAGGTGCTTGAATGAGCCATCAAAACCAAATCAAATCGATGTTTAATTAAAAACTAGAGGCAACAGGATGTTCACATTATATTCAAAGACCAATTACTTCATTGCATTTTCACCATTTTTCCCAACTCAATTTGGGACAATATATCCTTATAAACAACAAAATCAACTTAATTTTTCCAATGCAGATTGGACTAAAAATGCTCATGAACAACGAAGTCAACTTTCAAGTCAGGCACGCACAAATAAAAAACTACAGTCGAACACAGGCATTCGGCAAAGAAAGCTGCAAGTGCATGTAATTTCTCACAGGGATAATACATTCTCTGGAAACTCTGAGATGCATACCTTCACAATACTGTCTTCACAAAATTTTCAAATTGCAATAGGCATAAGAGACCCTACTCTTGCCAATTCCACAAGTAGCTATATCATGTTCTAATACAGAAAGCCGTTTCAGTTACACTAAGCAGCAGATCACTCATTCCCCTATTTAACATCTTTGCCCAAGTAGGGTAGAGAAAGAGAAAAACAAGTAAAACTTCATTTACATTAGGCTAAATCCAAAACAAGCAAAAGCATTTGCATGACATTGTAACACTTTGCATTTTAAGGTGTGTAGCTATCAGGCAACATATTTAACTGAAAAAACAATCACGCAACTTGGTTATCAGATAAAAATGCTGGTGCTCAATATTGGAAAAACAAGGCTCTCCAAAAGACCAACAAATGAATTAATAAAGAATCTCAGGAGAAGAGCACATTCCTTTCTCTAAACCCTTCTTTAATCATCCCTTATCTGAATAAGTATACCCAAGGATCACATGTACCTAAAATTTTAAATCCTTTTTTTCCAACAACCTAAATGATTAAGGTTGATTACTGGGCAGAAGAGTCCCTTTTTCACCAACAAAACCTTTCCTAACAAAGGTAGTAGACTGAGAGTTCAATAAAAGGGCGGAGCAGTGCACAAGGCTCCTGCTACTGTTGGGTATTCAAAATCAAAGTTTAGTATGCGATGCAAACTATTCACCAAAGCTACCTCATTATTCAGTTTGATGGTTTTAGCTCTTTAAAATGANTAAAGGTTGATTACTGGGCAGAAGAGTCCCTTTTTCACCAACAAAACCTTTCCTAACAAAGGTAGTAGTCTGAGAGTTCAATAAAAGGGCGGAGCAGTGCACAAGGCTCCTGCTACTGTTGGGTATTCAAAATCAAAGTTCAGTATGCGATGCAAACTATTCACCAAAGCTACCTCATTATTCAGTTTGATGGTTTTAGCTCTTTAAAATGATTTACGAAAATTCCAAATTACTTCAACGCTTCAAATTTTGCATCTAAATGCTTTGCTCATGACACAAAGTTGATATTAATCCTTTCTTGTTGAATAGAATTATAAATGAATGCAAAGAATGTTAGATGGAAATCCAATAGATAAAATTTTCTTCTTCAGAGGGTTGTTGGGGTTATGTCCTGGGCTCTGTCTCTTTCACTCTCCACCCCCCTTTCATGCTTGAATTGTGGTGCATACTTTCTAATATAGAACTGATAATGCACAGTACAACTAAGGTCAATCAATAAATAACCGCATATTGAAAGATAAACAGCAAGAGGGAAAGGTTCTAAACGTAGATGAACTAAGCTTCACATCCACATTAATCATCGCATGCTGTGACATCCCAACAGCGTCTCAAACTTAGGGGGTCAGTGCAAACATCAAGAATACTTAATCCCCTAGTAAAACATACTGATACTGCAGTTCCAATTTAATATTGGGTAGTAGCAGCCTAGCATTACAATCCTAGAGGAAGTTAAATGACCAAAGCCAATGAAACAAGAAAGTTCACATGTCAAGCGAAAGTAAAACCATGCACAAGGGTAAAGCTTACCAAGTAGGATAGCGATCTACCACAAGATGCATTTTGGTTACTACCCATATCAGGTTCCGTTTGCACATCTCTGGAGTAGAACCAAAGCCATCACCTAGAAGGCCCGCAGACTTTACATGGTTAAGGGCCGTTTCCTACAGAGTGAACACAACCTTGAGAAGAACAGACTATACATGTCATGCGCTTATGCTTTTAACATTGTAGTTTACTTTCTGTCTGCAAAAGCTGAGACAGAAAAGGTAAGGAAAATCTGAATTACCTGCAAATGATTCATTACAGTCTCTATAGATGCAGTACGATCAGCCCCTATTTCATACGATCTAATAGAGAAGTTTTGTCGGAAAACCAAACCATCCTGAACAATTCTTCCCAAACCGAATGGGTCAATAAGCATGTCAGGCCTCTTTGGCTTCCAATCAAGCATCATCCATTGCTTCTCTGCTGCCAAGAAAACTGTCGTTATGGCAGCTAGAAGCATGCTCCAATCAGGCAATTGGTTGATAAAAGTCCTTGGGGGAGGTGATGATGTCATCTCGTCCTCACTCTTCAGGCCTTCCATCACACCAACTTTGGTCCCATTCACCTTTGGAGGAGCTTGAGCATTGGCCCTAACCTGTAAACCCCCAGAAGAAGCAGAGGAGGATTTTGATTTAATCCCTCGTGTGTCTACACTTGCTGGCATGCCTCCAAGCTTGCCAGATGTCTTAGCACTAGGGCCAGGTGATGGAGAAGCAACGGAGAATAATGCAGAAGTAGCGGCAGTGGCAGCCATGATGAAATTATATAAACCCTCCAAGTGAATCCGAGCAAATCAAAGGATAAAGCACGGTTTGGATATAAGCAGCTGTATTTTGGATGAAATTCCAATCTTGCTAGGTCGTGGCAAAAATTGTGAAATTTTCACCAGGATGCATAATAGCATGACATGTTGCCCTGCATGGCATGTAACAGAATGCTATTATTTTCAGTAAAATTGAGAGCATATCAGAAGCACATAATCATAGACTAACAGAAGTTTTACTTTCGAGGAATCAAAAACATATAGTCCAAAAATAAAACTTGCAAATGCCAGCAAGAGCTTGAGAACAAGAACAAACTTCATTTTCCGAATCAGAGAATAGAACCAGAGAGAGAGAGAGTTTCCAAATACACACAAAATCCTTTTCTATGAAAAGATTCATAAATCCCTTTTTTGAGGAAATGCACGAAAACCATGACTAATTAATTTAAACCCTCAAAACTAAGATTTCCACTCACTCGTTCCAACACAATTAATCTGCCAAAAATATGATTCAAGATGATAACTTTTTTCCTCGCTTTAACTTTGAAAAGGAATTAAAATTCGAGGTAGAAATAGAGATTCTAAGAAATTGACAAAAAAGGATTTGAGCAACAGCAAACCCAACACAAAATAAAATGAAAATTAGAAAAAATGGCACCGCAAATGAAGCCGACAACCCACCATGAAACAAACAAGAACAACGCAGAATACAACAAAACAAATAAAAACCGACATGTTTCAGAGAAGCAGACCCTTGAACCTCAAACATGCAACAGAATCAAATCAGATCTGCTGATCTGGGCATTCAATCACAAAAAAACCAAGGCAAACCATTCATCAAATCACATTTCTCCATTTTACCCCTCCACAAACCAGAAAATCATTCAATCAGAAGCTTTTTACGCTTCTCAATCATAGAATCAGATCAGGGTAAAAACCCAAAAACAAAATCAAAAACTCAAAAAGAACATTTATGTACCTGATTCGTCTCAGAAGAATCAAGAGAAATATAGAAATGTGAGTATATACTATGCGTATGTGAATCAGAGAGACTCCATTTTGGTGATCCGCAAACCCGTTTCTCGGGGATTTGGCGTGGCGTCTAGGGTTTGCGATCAGGTATTTCTTGCTTAGCTCTTGCTTTTTTTGGGGAGGGTTTTGTTCAATTTTTGTGCCTTTGAAAACGCGGAATTTTCGGGAGGAGAGAGAGAGAATATATAATGAGGGGATGGCCAGCAGAGTTTGGGTGGTATGGATTTGGCGTNTATTTCATACGATCTAATAGAGAAGTTTTGTCGGAAAACCAAACCATCCTGAACAATTCTTCCCAAACCGAATGGGTCAATAAGCATGTCAGGCCTCTTTGGCTTCCAATCAAGCATCATCCATTGCTTCTCTGCTGCCAAGAAAACTGTCGTTATGGCAGCTAGAAGCATGCTCCAATCAGGCAATTGGTTGATAAAAGTCCTTGGGGGAGGTGATGATGTCATCTCGTCCTCACTCTTCAGGCCTTCCATCACACCAACTTTGGTCCCATTCACCTTTGGAGGAGCTTGAGCATTGGCCCTAACCTGTAAACCCCCAGAAGAAGCAGAGGAGGATTTTGATTTAATCCCTCGTGTGTCTACACTTGCTGGCATGCCTCCAAGCTTGCCAGATGTCTTAGCACTAGGGCCAGGTGATGGAGAAGCAACGGAGAATAATGCAGAAGTAGCGGCAGTGGCAGCCATGATGAAATTATATAAACCCTCCAAGTGAATCCGAGCAAATCAAAGGATAAAGCACGGTTTGGATATAAGCAGCTGTATTTTGGATGAAATTCCAATCTTGCTAGGTCGTGGCAAAAATTGTGAAATTTTCACCAGGATGCATAATAGCATGACATGTTGCCCTGCATGGCATGTAACAGAATGCTATTATTTTCAGTAAAATTGAGAGCATATCAGAAGCACATAATCATAGACTAACAGAAGTTTTACTTTCGAGGAATCAAAAACATATAGTCCAAAAATAAAACTTGCAAATGCCAGCAAGAGCTTGAGAACAAGAACAAACTTCATTTTCCGAATCAGAGAATAGAACCAGAGAGAGAGAGAGTTTCCAAATACACACAAAATCCTTTTCTATGAAAAGATTCATAAATCCCTTTTTTGAGGAAATGCACGAAAACCATGACTAATTAATTTAAACCCTCAAAACTAAGATTTCCACTCACTCGTTCCAACACAATTAATCTGCCAAAAATATGATTCAAGATGATAACTTTTTTCCTCGCTTTAACTTTGAAAAGGAATTAAAATTCGAGGTAGAAATAGAGATTCTAAGAAATTGACAAAAAAGGATTTGAGCAACAGCAAACCCAACACAAAATAAAATGAAAATTAGAAAAAATGGCACCGCAAATGAAGCCGACAACCCACCATGAAACAAACAAGAACAACGCAGAATACAACAAAACAAATAAAAACCGACATGTTTCAGAGAAGCAGACCCTTGAACCTCAAACATGCAACAGAATCAAATCAGATCTGCTGATTTGGGCATTCAATCACAAAAAAACCAAGGCAAACCATTCATCAAATCACATTTCTCCATTTTACCCCTCCACAAACCAGAAAATCATTCAATCAGAAGCTTTTTACGCTTCTCAATCATAGAATCAGATCAGGGTAAAAACCCAAAAACAAAATCAAAAACTCAAAAAGAACATTTATGTACCTGATTCGTCTCAGAAGAATCAAGAGAAATATAGAAATGTGAGTATATACTATGCGCATGTGAATCAGAGAGACTCCATTTTGGTGATCCGCAAACCCGTTTCTCGGGGATTTGGCGTGGCGTCTAGGGTTTGCGATCAGGTATTTCTTGCTTAGCTCTTGCTTTTTTTGGGGAGGGTTTTGTTCAATTTTTGTGCCTTTGAAAACGCGGAATTTTCGGGAGGAGAGAGAGAGAATATATAATGAGGGGATGGCCAGCAGAGTTTGGGTGGTATGGATTTGGCGTCCAGCGAATTCACTTCATACTACCCACCTGGCACTCCCTCCTTCACTTTTTAATTTCCATCTTTTCCACCTCATTCTTTTCCTTTTTACCTAATTGCCCCTCCTCTCTCTCTCAGTCTTTTTTTTTTGGGTTAATTACAAGTTGTACCCCGAAAGATAATGAGAATTTTAATTTATATCCTCAAAGATCAAAAATTTTAATTTACATCCTCAAAGATAGAAATTTGTATCAATATGCACCCCTAAAGATAAAAATCTCAATTTACACCCTCAAAAATAAAAATTTGTATCAATACGCACCTAAAACTAAATTGATAAATTATACCTAGATCCCCTCATGTTTATCACTTAATCATTTGGACCCCTTTATATTTAGAATAGTACTCCTACATCTCATGAAGTTTGTGCACGTGTAACATGTAATCCCTTTTCATTGATATCTGTTAATATAACAGTTAAAAAATATAATTTTATCTTAATAAAAAATTATAATTTTATATTATCCTTTATTTTGTGGGTTCGATATACTTTAAAGTTAAAAATCAAGTTTACCATTGGACATTNAGTACTCCTACATCTCATGAAGTTTGTGCACGTGTTATATGTAATCCCTTTTCATTGATATCTGTTAATATAACAGTTAAAAAATATAATTTTATCTTAATAAAAAATTATAATTTTATATTATCCTTTATTTTGTGGGTTCGATATACTTTAAAGTTAAAAATCAAGTTTACCATTGGACATTATAATTTTTTATTAGGATAAAATTATATTTTTTAACGGTTATATTAACAGATATCAATGAAAGGGGGTTACGTGTTACACGTGCACAAATGTTATGAGATGTAGGAGTAATATTCTAAATGTAAAGCGGTCCAAATGATTAAGTGACAAGTATGAGGAAATTTAAGTATAATTTATTAATTTAGTTTTAGGTGCACGTTGATACAAATTTCTANTAAAGCGGTCCAAATGATTAAGTGACAAGTATGAGAAAATTTAAGTATAATTTATTAATTTAGTTTTAGGTGCACGTTGATACAAATTTCTATATTTGAGGTTACAAGTTGAGATTTTTATTTTTGAGGGTGTACATTGATACAAATTTCTATCTTTGAGGGTGCAAATTAAGATTCAAACTATCTTTTAAGGTGCAACTTGCAATTAACCCTTTTTTTTTTGTCAGGTACTGTCTCTTCTCTCTCACATACTTTATATCTAGAATAATATTATTGAGACTTAATTTATTAATTTAATATATTGTGACATTTAAATTTATTGTAAACCTCATCAATAATTGGAATTTGATGTTGATCTAATAATTTCTATAAAGCCACATTATTATGTCAATAAATTAAATCAGATTTTTGGGTCAAAATAGTATTACTCATATTTTTAACATTCCATATATTTTACTTTGCAACACTAAAAATCAAATATTAATTATGTAATCTTTATATTTGAACATAGAGAAAATAAGAGAGAAGTCTGCGAAGATTAATGCAGTTATATTAGTGAGTGTGTTATTGACTTGTTTGATATTAAGGGTTGCGTAGAGAAGACGATATTTTTGAGTGATTTTTTTTTGATATGAACTATGTACGATTAGATCAAATTAGACAAAAATTGAATCAATTTTAAATTTTGTTGTACTTTTAATAATCAATAATTTAATTTTTTAACTATAATATTAGATAAATTTAAAATATACTATGAATTGAACTTGAAAATGAAATGTTGGTATTGGATTAATAGTGAATTTTCATTTGGATCTCAATTTTTTTAGGTCGGACAGTGAATAACAAGATCCACTATTAATCCAATTATAGAGAGTTCATTAGGTCCTAATTCCTTATCCTCGAAATTTATTTTCTAATAATGTTACTCTTTTTTTCTTTTTGGTCAATCACATCGTGGATATTGGTGGTCTTGCAATCTTTAGGTTTAATACCAGTTTGTTAAATATTATTCAGATATTTTTAAGTACTAGCAATATACGACATGCGCACATAAATAAATATAGATAATATTATTTTTATAGAAAATATAAATTTTATGTATAATTAAATTAAATAATAAATTAGGTGTCAAATAATTAATTCATATTTTAATTATTACTAAATTTAAATTATTGATTTATACTATAAATTTTTAACCAAATAATTTGTTATTTATATAAGTATCTCTTTGACCCCTTTAAATATTTGTACATCTAATTATATTATAGAATTATTAATTTTTATTTTTGTAATGTAGATTGATTAGATCGCTTATAATATTATTATTTTATTATATATCACAAAAATAAAAAATAACATATATTTGACCGTAAAATTTAATTTGGTAACTAATAAATGAGTTCAACATAATTTAGAAATCTCTATAAAAGAATCCAAAACAAGTTGAAAGTCAAATATGTGTAAAAAAAAAAATTAGATGCAAATATATAGTGGGTATAATTGATTTTATTTTAATAATTAGAGATAAAATAAGAAATCTAAAGTTTTTTCCAAATATTGATATTTACAAATTGTATATATTTATTGATTATCGTTTGATAATAATCGCTAATATTATTATTTAATTAGAAGTATTGTCGCCTTTGAATAGCTTCATCTTATTATAAAAGTACAATAACGGTCAATATTGATCTAATTTTTATTTATTTTGATTTATTTATACAAAATTCATTTTAATTTTTTTTTAATCAAAAACATCATCTTCTCTCAAATAATTCAACCACCACCCTCCTCGGTGTAATGAACCGTGCTGTCCTAGATGCTGTTACCAAAATACCAAAGGGAACGTATCTTAGTGGTGTGGTGTTCAATTATCCAGGTGTTTCAAAACAACTACTATAACGTCTCCTCCACATTATAGTAGTCGTTTTTCAAGTGTTTACCGTTGAATTAAACCAAATTGATTTCCTAGACAGTGGTAGGGCCGAAAGTTTTGTAGTGAGTATGACGCTTGCACATACAATTCAATTTCGTTTCATATACATTTGACATCGAATCTTCGTACTATTGGACCATTACAATAAAATTGCATTTGTAACTTACAATTGACAAAAATACTTATGTTGGACCAATACAATGGATAACCACAAGGCCACCAAAAAAATAAATAAATAATATTATTATTATTATGCTTTTATCTACCTAATTTTGCACCTAGATTGTTTCCATACAATTGAAAAACCATCCACATCTAACACCAAAAAGTAACACAATGTAAACAGGAATAAAGTGTAAATAAAGATGTTATGAATTTGAAATTTGACAATTTTTCTGGGGCTAGGCCATAAAATATTTATCATTTATAAATTATCTAGTTCCGACATACATGATCTCTCTTTGATCAGATAAGAAAAAAAATAGTTATGGTACACGTAAATTAGTTCGAACGCAGTTGATTATAATATCAAAAAACAAAAAGCTGTCACAAGTTTTAGATATATATAATTCACCCACAATCTATTCAATAGTTATGATTCACCAAGTCAACAAATTATGTCAACTTTTAAAGTACAATTTTTTAGGTGCACGTCTATAGTGCTGAAATCATATTTTTAATATAATGCCAAAAATTACAATATTTGAAGGACAAAAAAGTACAAATTTTTAAAATTAAGTTATAATTTTTGAAGATTAGATTAATCTTAAAATAGTATGATCAATCTATCACGAATAATCTTCAAAACGTGACTTAATCTTTAAAAGATTCTATCTAATAATGTTGGCTTTACCCTTATAACATAGGAGGGGGGGGAAAGGGGATGCATTTTAAGACAGTTGAACCATTTTCCTTTTCATTTTTCAATTATTTGTTGACTACATCATGACATTCTATTTTAATACTCCATTCTAGAAGAAACTCTGTTCGTGGTCTCTACTGGTATTGTTTCAAACGTAGTTTTTGTTATTGTGCTCATTGCTTATGTCAAACAAACAATAAATAAACTTATCAGCTAACTCAAGATGAGAAAAAAAAAAACCATGGAAGTTATTACGTCGCCATTCTAAATTTTATGATCAATATAGTTTTACGTGTGCGTACACACATTTAGAGTTTACATACGTTGTTTGAATCATGGCACTTAGTGCACGCTTATAAACATCGACAAAAAACATTGAAATTAAGGCTAGTACTAAAATGTAGGAAAAATTTTATTTACACCTCCTTTATATAGGTCTATCTTCAACGACATCCTTTTATCTTTTTTGAAATTTCACTGACCTCTCTCCTGTCAATGTTGGTCAGCTAACACATGATGGAAACACATTTTTTATTGTTTTACCCATAAATTTTATAAAGATTTACATATTCACCAATTATTTTTCATAAAACTATATATAAATAGTTATTACCTTGTTTGGTCCTTACTGTGCATGAAGTTAATAGTTATATAAATAGTTATTACCCACTTATTATCTTGTTTGGTTGGTATTTTATGTGTAATATTATTTTTCGGGTTATAATACTGATTTGATTTGTACAGTAACTTTTATCCCATGTACATGACTTTAATAAATACCACCTACCAGGTGGTATTATTTGTTGGTATAAATCCACTAATGGTACAAGCAAGAAAAATGACACAAATACTCTTCTTTATAGAGTTTACATATTTTGAATTTTTTCCATGTATTATGTTTAAGTGTACGATATTATCGTTTTTTTTTTAATTTATTTAAAAAATTATTTTAAATTTTTTCTTTATGTTACGTTTAAGTGTATGATGTCATCAGTTTTTTTAAAAAAAAAATTATTTTGAATTATTTTGTTGTATTATGATTAAGTGTATAATGTCACCAATTTTTTTTTTTTTTTTGAATTTTTCCTTGTATTTTAAGTGTAAGATGTCTCCGATTTTTAAAAAAAAATTATTTTAAATTTTTTTCTTGTATTATGTTTAAGTATACGGTTTC